ATAAATTCATCATGGGGGCGCAGAAGGGAATTGGTGAGGCCCTACTCAGCAAGGTGCCCCTGGGGGTCACAAGAAATAATGGCCATAAGCTAGCAGAGAGCAGATTTAGACTGGACATTAGGAGGAACTTCTTCACAGTTAGAGTGGCCAAGGTCTGCAATGGGCTCCCAAGGGAGGTGGTGCTCTCCCCTACCCTGGGGGTCTTCAAGAGGAGGTTGGATGGGCATCTGGCTGGGGTCATCTGAACCCAGCACTCGTTTCTGTCTATGCAGGGGGTCAGACTCGATGATCTATTGAGGTCCTTTCTGACCCTAACATCTATGAATCTATGAGAGTCTGTGCTTCCCTACAATACTGGGAGATTCCCCCTCATATTTGTACTACCAGTGACAACACACCCTTTAGCTTGATGTGGTAAGCACTGCTCCCAGGGCTTGATCCTTGGCGTTCCTATGCACCCTGGCCACAATCCAGGAAAACACTTAAACTATGTACTTAAACTCGTCCCTTTCCAGCACAGCACTGAAGCACATACTTAAATCCTACCAAAAGGATGAGATTAAACATGTAGTTAAAGCTAAATAATACTTGTATGATATTATGGACTAGTGTCAGACTGCTAACATATTGCAAGATTGAGCCCCGAGGATAAGACAGAGTTTATCAGACAGGATCTGGTCAGCAGAGAGCACATAAGCACACTTACCTAATGGAGCTTCTGAATTTGTTCTTATCACACTACAGAAGTCGGTGATGGGCTGCTCTGTGAATCTCTTCTTCCAATACAAAACGTACCTTACAATAAAATAAGGGGGTGCATATGAAGGAGGAAGCTTAAAAAACCTAAAGTGTTCTTCTTCTGTAGTTTAACTTCCTATCCTTCAATTCCCAGAAGGGGTTTATTTCAAATAATTTTTAATGCTGGTTTTGCAGCATCTTCTTTACAAGATACATACTGTAAGAAACTCATGTATACAATAAAATTATTCTGGGTCTGGGCCTGTCAAAAGGCAGGTATCTTTGGATCAAGGTTCATATCCATAATGTAAACTTGTCATGTCTTTAGAACGAGGCCCTAGTAGGCAAGAACACAGAAGTCCTGTGGGCTTGCAAAGCATCTCTGAGGCTGAGCATGAGGCTGGCAGATAAATGGGCAGAGTGTGTTGCTGCTTGTGGCAAGGGCTTTCAGCGTGTCATGCCAAGCTCTGCATCTTTGAAGGCTGGAGCCCTGGCACTGGTCAGATGGGCTCTGCAGCGCATCTTAGCTTGGCTTGTCTTGGGGTGAAAAACAAATTTCTAACCCTAGCGAGGGCCACAAAACTCAACTGAAGATTGCATGATCACCCCCAGACTTGGGCTGTGAACCTTGTGACTAATGGATTAACACTGAGTTCCTTCAGCCACAGAACAGGCCTGTTTGCTCAGCACCCGACAAACCCAGGGCTCAAACTACCACCTGCCAGATATGCATGCACACCCCACCGCCCTTGGCCTGTAAATACCTATATATATTCTTATATTTACATATATGAAATGACTCAATGTGGCAACCTGGATATAAATTGAGTGCATGTGTACATTTGCAAGATCAAGTTGTCAGCAGAAATTATGTTCTCTTGAGACACTACCAACATAAAATCAGATACTACTGTTATAAGATACGAACTATGAGACAAGAGATGTTTCACTGCAGAGTGAACGGACAGTTTTCTTGGAGGAAATCTCCATGGGTCTTTTGATACAAAAAATCATTCTAATTTATCCCCCTGCATTAATGCAGGATCAATTATGCTCAGACAGCATCTAATCTGGTCTTGGAACTGCGCTGTGAAGGAGATTCCATGGTTTCCTGAGGCAGCCTGTTCCAGGATTTCAGTAACCTTGTAGTTAGGAAGGTTTTCCTAATATTCAACTAAAAGCTGTTTGCAGGAAAAGATAATTTCTTCTTCTCCTATTTAGTGGAAATGATGACTAATCAGCCTCTTCTTTATAAGAAACTTACACACTGGAATTTTATTTATTTTTTTTTTATCACGTCGCCCTTTTAGTCTTTTTTCCTCAAGACTAAACAAATCAAAACACACAACTTCTCATCATAAGACATATCTTCTAAACATCTTATCATTCTTGATGCTCTTTTTTGGACTCTGTCCATTTTGTCTACATCTTGTTTATGTTATGGTACACTGAATTGGACTCAGTAGTACAGCTGAGGTATCACTATACAAAGAGTGGAATAATTATCTCCTGCGTCTTCCATAAATGCCCTTGTGAATAAACCCCCGAGTGGGACTTACTTTTTTTGCCCAACAGCTTCACTTGAAGTGTCCTCCTAGTCCAGGAGTGGGCAAAATGCATCCCGTGGGCCAGATGCAGCCCCCCAGGCCATTCTATCTGGCCCATGGGGCCCCTAAAAATTTAGAAAATTAGTATTTATCTGCCCCTGGCTGCCTGTCATGTGGCCCTCGATGGCTTGCCAAAATTCAGTAAGCAGCCCTCTGTCCAAAATAATTGCCCACCTCTGTCCTAGTCTCACAGCAAACTATTAACGATTCTTTGTGGGTGGTTTGTAGCTAGTTGTGCACCCA